CTCGAGAACTTTGCTTCGCTTTTTCCATCTTTTAACGACCTTGAATCAGCAACGATACCAATTCAACGGCGTGCCATAATTTTCGACTAATCTCGAACATGAAAATTTGTCGTTTCTGCTCGTTTCCTTTTCGTGATATTCGCTTCACTAAGAAATACCATCCAAACGCTATAGTGAATCGTACGTTTGCAGTATTTTTTGCTGAGCGGTAATCTGAAATTTTATGCACGTGGAATAAATATGGCCGTATCACGTAAACAGTACGTATACGTAACATGTTTGTTCTTATTTCATGCAAAAGCGTTGAATTTAAACGAATCACGGCCTGATTGTTTCTTGTACTTTATACGTATATATACGCACGCGTACGTACGTGTGTGAGAATCGCTAATGTGTCCATTTCTTGTGCTAACCGCTAAAGGGGAAAACCTAGTATCTCGTCGGTAGACAGAACAAACAATCAAAAGTCCCTGACACGCGAAAAATTTTGCTCGTTACGGCCGAAATACCGGCGTCGAGGTTAATTAACAAACGCAATAGCAACTTGCAAACACGTTCCACTTGCTCTTCTCGAGCGGATTAGACAGCGATGCTTTAAAGGAAGCGGCAGCGCGTCCGGTTTAATTAGCTTAGACGAGGCATTTTTTTAATTTAAACAGACGTAGAAGGCACGCGATGCTTTTGTGCGAATCGACAGTGTTCTAGCTCGTTCTCGTCGCAACTAATAATTGCCGTTGTTTCTGCTTGTATATAAATCTGTATACACCGCGTTCAGAAATATGTAGACACTTTTGGTCGATTTGTATCAACGGCACACGCGAATGTTACCAAAGTATACGAATTAATGGTAAACCAGTTGTGACAAATATCGTGGAATCAACAGATGTATATCGTATGGAATACAAATTATTTGTTTAGAATTTTTTCCAATGAAATATCGAAAATGATCGCAGCCCATGTTTTTCCAGAGAAACGCGCCAGGACATGCTTCGTATATTTCAACTATTTTAAACGAAATACTCGTGAAATTGCGCAATGTTTGTAAGTATATCGGTATATCGATATAACAAACGAGCTGTATTTATTTAAGTCATAAAATCGTCGAACCTTGATAAATATCATTCTTGTAGAACCATTTAACTTTGAATTTAACGAGTATATCGTTATCTAGAAAGTAAAAAAAAGATCATTTTTGCTATGGCCTATCACAGTTCGACAACGAAACAATCCGAGAACAACGAACTCTTTAAATGACAAAACTTCTCCACAATGTTTGACATTTAATTTGATTATTACGCGTTAACTTTTAAAAGTAAATTGTACAATTGTTGAGATATGTATAATTTTCTATGCTGGACTAGGTTAAATGCGTAGTAGAGATACTTGTATGTGAATATCAGTGTGTGGAAGTATGTGTGTCGTAGCGTCTCGAAGACAAAGGAATGTAAACTCTTCAGTCGGTTAAGAGTCGGTTAACAGTCGGGTATAGAAGAAAGTGCTGAGACAAGTGCATGAAATAAATATATCATTATTTTAATATTAATCCTCGGTATAAACTTAGCGTTCCTATTATACGTTATTTCGGCTTCAAAGATCCACAATTTTCAACAACGATACTAATTAATATTCCAATAAATGGTAAAATCAGCACGAGTGTTTCCAGCTGGTTAACTTTGCAACTAAATTATATTCTGCTAAGAAGCAAATAAACGTTTACGCACTTTCGACCAGTAGTACGTGGTATACGGTAGCGTACATGTACAAATATACATAGACACGTTGCAATTTCGGATCAGCGTTGCTTTGATTAAGCGAAACTTTCAGCTTCTTTCAAACGCGTCGAGTTTTTCTGGCTACGAAGTCAGAGCTCGATGCAAAACTTTCACGACTCTACCTCTACCGTTGCTACTCTTATCCCTTCCATCTCTGCTCGTCGTTTCGCCGCTTTTTTCCCCGCTGCTAGTTTTTCCATTATCCGGTTTTATCTGTTACCGTGGCGCGCTGCTTTGGCGGAAAGCAGAACCGCGTTAGAAGCGAAACGACCAGAAGAACGCCTGCCCGGGTCGAGCAACCTGCGGAATTGGCCACTCAGGGAACGTCCAGGCTTAGGATATAGAAATTGCTTGGATTTTTTCCCCCGTACGAATATAACGTTGAACACTTGCCACCCCCTTGTCTCCTAAAAGAGTGCAGCTACGTTTTCATACGAATTTAAATCTGCATGAACGTGGAAATATTTAAACACGCGGAGCAATAGTAATCTTTCTGAACTTTTCTTGCTATATCGCCTTTTTCCACGTAGATACGCAACTCATATGGAAACAGCATATTAAATCAATAATAGACAAAATACAGACAGCAAGGAGACAAGTGCATTGGCATAACTTTGTGCATCGACTTTCTAACAAGTCGAAAATCCAATTTAAACATAGAAAATAAGTTAAAAATATACAAAACGATCATAAAACCAATCTGGACGTACGGAATACCACTATGGGGAACGGCAGCAACGAGCCATATAAGCAAAATAGAGACAATGCAAGCTAAAATTCTTAGAACAATAGTAAACGCCCCATGGTACGTTAGAAACGAGGATATTCGGAAAGAGCTGGGAATACCAATGGTCAAGGAGGAGATTAGCAGATGCGCAAGAAGATACAGAGAAAGAATAGCAACGCAACCGAACCGGCTGGCAGCGGAGACGATCAACGCATCAAGCATAGAAAGAAGACTAAAAACACCCAGCAGATCTCATAAAGGGTATAGCCTAACAAACACGAAGATGGTACCTCGCTGGGGGTAGCCACCCACATGATAATCAAACAGCTAAAAAATTCTACCAAATGTCCAAATTGGACAAATTGCGAATGTGAAATATTAAATAAATAAAAAAAAAATATCGCCTTTTTCTATACATCTATACATCCGTATCTCTCGCGAAGAGCTGCTTATGAAAAAAATAAGCCAGACTTGAAAAAGTTCGAAGATGTTGTTAAAACGTTGAAAAATAATTTTCTCCTTCGTAATGCAAAAACTAACTTGATATTATTGTTACGATAAGACACTGGTATATTCGCACATTGATCGTTAAAAGGTAGTCGCCGATGAACGATGAGAATCGTAAATTATTCAGCAAATATAGCTTTGATGCACGCGATAAAACTTATATATTTTTATGGATTGTCGTGAGTCGTTATCGCACCAAGGACGATATCAATAAATAAATAAGTTTTCATTTGTCGATTAAACGATAGAACGAAGAGGATGAACGAGCTCTCGAGCTTAACTCTTCTCCTCGACGATGTTGAAGCCTGGCCTCGAGCAACCCCACGTCTGTGTACCCTGTCTCGCCGCTGTCATCTAAACGGAAAAGCGGGGGGAATAACGAGGGACGAGGGTCTTTGTTTGAGACCTGGAAAATGTGATTGTTTAAGCCGCGACGACGGCTAATCCGGAATCGTTCTACGGATGGGACAAGCCTCGTATTATTTGGCTAAAACGGATTCGTGGTTAGTGGTTATTCATTTGACTCTCGAGCAACGTCCCAGCTATTTGTCTGGTCGAGTGAATTGCAACTGCTTTGCCATTGCTAATAACTAGACTGCCAACTCTTATGCATTCGTGTGGAGGAAAATTAAGGGATGCAAAAATATACAAAAATGTTACGAAATACGGAAAATACGTAAAGCGAATCCACTCTGATATTTGAACAACGAAACGAACATCCGTTTAGCTTTCGCTTCGGTAATTGCATGCATAAAAGTACGAATTTGTATAAACATTGGCAATCCGCTCGTAACTATACGATTTAATACAATATTCTTAAATCTTTCGAACGCACAGTACAACGAAAAACAAGCATAGGATTTTACTTAAAACTGCGACAAAAGTTCTACCTCCGAGGAAACCTCGATTTTACAGTTTACCTGCTCTTTGTTCCATACTCTTTCGTTCCATATTCCTGACGATCTGTATAATAAATCGATTACCACACACGAAATTCCCGAATTTATAAGAAGCCCACAGAAGATCCGTATCGTGGCCAGAAAAGGACTTTATCTTCCGTTCTTTTTGCTTATTCTTCGCGTTTATACTCGTTCTTCGTAAATTTTCAAATATGCATTATACTTCATTGGCGAAGAGTAGGAAATACACGATATATATAGCAACGAATATCAACGAGGTTGTCACGTAAACTTGAGGGTTGGATGATAAAATAAAAATAGCTGAGTCGTAACACAACTATTAATTTTGTTTTAATTGAACTTTATTACAAATTCAGCGATCAAACTGCAATACACGCTGAATTAACCTAAATCATAATTCACTCCAACCACGTTATGTAAAACTTAGTTACAGTGATACGTTAAGTACGCGACAGTTATAAGGGTAGAGACAGGCAAAGATACGTTGACTATTTTAAGGATACAGAATATGTGAAGTTTTACTGACGATATCGTGTCCGAGGAAAGCTAGGAGTGGGTGTGTCTAAGGACACGAGACTATCGGATTTGTTGATGATAATTTTGGTTAAGGAAGCGAGGGCAGTAGACACCGTCTCCGATTGGATAATAAGACGGTTGGTGGACCAGGAAGGGTTTTAGCCGCCCTCGTGAGAAAGTTGCTAACGAAACACATCAGAAGTGAGGAAAAACTAACTTTTCGTGTTAACCCGTAGTAAACGATAAACGTAAAAGGAAACCTAAGACAAGAGATACTCGCTTGGTCCGAAGGACCTTAACTATGAAAATTACAAGACCCCCGGTGGGTACTTAGGACTATCGAGGGTACGCGCCAAGGATGTGTAGACATCTGAGCGTCATCCTGCCCGCGGTGTGTGACCTGGTCTCTGATGTGAATTGACGTTACAAGGGAATGGCGAACTATTTTGCAGACTATGACAAATCAGTATATAAAAAATCGTGCATTAATTCGCTAAAATACTTTCGACCAATTTAAATTGAAATTGTAGGATCGAAATATCCAGAAGAAGTCGAAGAACGTGTCACGACCGGCACACGTCAAACCCGATGGACTGACGATGGAAATAAAGACGTGGCGACACTCGGCGAAAACGTATATGGCCGAAGTGCCTAATGAGCCATCGATATCCCAACGGTCCTTCAGCCGAATGTTCCAGAAGAAAGCGTGCGTGGCAACGGTCACGGACGCCTAACAAACGCGCGGTTAGTGGGGATGATATTGAGGGGTGACAAAAGTGAAATAACCGAATCCGATCGGAAGTCGAGTTGTAAGAGTCAGTCTTGAAAAGTCACGCTTAGAGCTCGGAAACAAATTGTAAAACCAAGTTTTTTTTATTTATTGATATTTGCAATCAATTCTCGCTTTGGGAATTTTCAGTTATTTTTTCTGGCGTGGCACAGTGACAGGGGTAAATATTTATAATAAGTTAATACTTATTATAGATAAGTAAGTTTTAAGTAAATGTTGTAAATAAGTAAATATTGCTTAATATAAATAACTAATTAAATCTAATGTTTAGGTCTATCAAGTAGTCCAGTAATTAGGGGGTTTCGATGTTTGTTGACTCTTTTGCTATATCTGTCGCTATATTTTGCTACTTCCTTTTTTGACTGTTGTAAAACCAAGTGTTAGAAAAAAAAGAAATAAAGTTTCTTCTTTTATTTTTCATCTTAAATTTGGTTTTTTATTTTTTTGTGTTATTCTACGCGATAAACGCAACGTTTTATCGAAGAACGAAATTAAAATATAATATCTGTTAAAATACGATTTTTATTTCGAATGAAACAGCCTTAAGCAGAGTGAGGAGTTAAATCGCCTCTAACGATTGTCTCGTATCCAGCGTATAACTCACGATTTAACCGTGGATAATGTAAAACTAAAGCCAAATTCAAGCAGAAGTTATTTCGAGAAGATGATCGCGTCGTACAGCGCGGCATTTGAATGAGAATTCAGAGCAAAAATCAAAATTCACTGGACAGACTCGGAGTGCACGGTCTCGCGTCTTACAGTGCGGCATTTGAACGAGCATTCCGGACAAAGATCGAGAAATGCATATAATGCGCAGTTTCTCGAAACTTGATATCAGAAGATAGGACGCGAGTAGAAGTCTATTTATCGAATCTTTGTTAGCATTTTCCCTACTCCCTGGCTCGACTGAAATATCTCCAGTATTCGTTTCTTCGTCCAAGCATACACGGTGACGTTTGAATAAACAGTGCCGATATCGGCAACGATCTTTCCATCTTTTTCTAACTGCCATGCGAAATTACTTAGTCGCGATTACGAATAGATTTCATTAAAAAAAGAAAAAGAAAAAAGAAAAATAAAGGATATAAGGAAATAAAGCGTGGCAGTTTTTGTAGCAGAAAATAGATTATACAGCAACGTAATACGAAATGCCTCTTTGACACAGAAGAATCAGAATTACAGGACGGTGCGAACATTTTCTTTTAAATTGCTCTTTGAAGAAAGAAAGACACATCTAAATTGGAAATTACAATTATGCGTCTCTTTATTCGGATTCTCTGTATTTGAGACGTAACAGCTACTGTTTGATCGGAATTAATAAACAGGGAATTATCGTTTACAACCCGATAATAAGATCAAAATCTAACAATGATTTTTTCGACTTTTGTCCACTGCATGCCGTGCTGTGACGTCGGCCCGTTGGATCAACTTCGAGTCTCAACTTACCAGACGCTCGTCTCATCTTCCTACGTAATCAGAAAATAAAATCCATCGTCGAGATGGTCCAAGTTCGCGTTCCCTTGCTTCTCTTTTCTCGTTGTGTTTTCCCTTTTATTAAATTGATCGCAGCCCGGCTGCTGGAATAAAATTAGCCGTAGTGTATCGCGATTAAAGTTTCCCTGGTAAATCAAACGAACGGCCTGATCCACGGAGGAAGAGTAGAAGGGTTGGAATCCGGCGAGGTTGTCGGCAGGAGTATCGAGATCCCGCGATTGTTTCGCCCGGAGGAGAGCGTTGCAAATATAGGAAACTTGGTGGATGCATCGATGTCGTCTGTAATTTACGTGCAATGCGAAAACTTCTGCAGTCACCGTTATTTCCACCCTTCCTACGGTGCCTCGCCTCCAGGCCACCCTCTATCTCACTACAGTTTCTCCCCCTCCTGCTGTACCATTCCGTTCCCCCTTGTGCTCTTGTGTTCTCTTGCTTCCCTGCGTTCTCTCAATCTCTCCTCTCCTCTCCTCCCAGGGTTCCGCTGCTCAGTTCCACTGGGAGAAAGTCGTCGATTTGAGAGAGAAAGAAAGAGAGAGAAACTAAGAGGGTTGAGGGGGTGCAGTGGAAAAGCGGCACGATGACGTGTCTCTATATTAAGATCTTGAAAATGTGATTGCTTAAGCTGGACGGTCGTTTCTCTTTTCTCCATTTCCAACGTTCCCAAGCTTCTCTTTCTCTGTAGGTGTATACAGTCGGGCACAAGAATAAGCGGCCAGATAGTGGAAATAGGCATCGGTGAATTGAAATGAAATGCGGCTTGTTTAAAGAAAAATGTAAATACTAATTTCGATTATTTTTTACTGAATAATCTAATGGATTGGAGCAATAAGTCGGTTCGCTTTCCATTAATGTATACATTCAAAGGGAATGTTTTAAGTAGACTGCAGATTTTTATGCAAATTCACGTTCTTGGGAATATAATTAAAAAAGTAGAAACTCGGTAGGAAATTGTTTTAGTCCCCAGCAAGTACCACAAAAAGCAAATTATAATTTGAATACCTTGTACGTTTTCGTACATCATATTATGTACATCCTGGTGCAATTTTGTGGCTTCAAATTTTTTCGAAATGCATAGAAATTCCCAGTCTGGTTACAAGAATAGTTTAGAAAATGTGAATGCATCTGAATTTATAAACAAACCGCCTAAATATATTAGAATGTCTCAAAAGTTTCTTTAAAATATACGATATATATAAATGGATCGTACATAATTCAATGAAACAAAGAAAACAAAAAGCGTCGTACGTCTATCGTTTATTTACAAAACGAAAGATACTTTCGGAACAACTTAAGTTCATCGAGAAAAAAAATATATAATAATTTAATCCTTTTTTGGTTTTTCGTTTCAGTCAAGAATTACGAGGTGTATCCTTCACGCCGATCGAAAACCACAGCCCATGAAATAGGCTTAGAAATCTGTTATAATTTTTTTGTTTACTCTAAAAAAAATTTTTTTGTATTCGTTAAATATATACAAAACCATACCTCAAAATTCAATAACTTCGTTTCTTTCTTGCCCTTCTAAAAAAAATCACAAACAGACGCTGTTTTAGAACATTCTAATTCGGGACATCCCCTTAATGCGTTATTCGTAGCTTTCTTAAATAGATTTTGTGCGAAAGTAAATAATAGTATCTCACGCGCTCTTTTAAGTAAACGCGAATAAACTTATCACTCGATAAATTAAACTCGAGCATATAACGCCAGTGCCGCTAGTTCGATTAAACTTCGTTGAAACCTAGTTCCACTACCACCTGTTCTTTTGTTTTTGCACCTGACTGTATATACGTGTATCGGACGATAAGTCAGCAGACTCGAGTAAGAAAACGGTTAACCAGTGAGCGGTTCAAGTCCTTTGAACTCTGTTTCTTTCTTTCTTTCCTCTCGATTCCCATAATCGTTGCACAGACTAGCGAGATGTCCCCTTAATGAAATGAAGCCTGTAATGAAAGGGGAGCACGGTAGCGTGAATAAGCGCGACTCCTGCAGAGCCACGTGGCCACGAAGAATATTCGCGGTAATTGCGTTCAGGAAAACGACGCGAGCCAACCAGCGATTCAGCCGATCCACGTATTTAAAAACAGCTTTAGCCTGACTCCTGTAATTACTGGAATGCGTTTCAGCCTTGTTTCCTTAGCGATTTAGTGGCTGCGTCTGACGTCGCGAGCGTTACCCGTTCCCGACACCTTCGTAGTTCGTTTCTAATTAACACTGGCTTTTGCATATTGACGAACGTTTGACGACTGATAAATCTTTTGAGAAATTTTATCTGTAACGAGAAACTGATCGAGGAATATTCAAGCTTCTTTTCCTCTTTTTCAATTATTGCTCGAAGTTGTTCGGTTGTAACCATTTGCTTACAAATACGGTGAATTTTGATCGAAACATTACGATTTTTTAATTCTTCGGAAATCACTGTGTGCTAATAATAATTATCGATCAGACGAAATATTTAACTTTTGTTCGCGGTTCAGCATTTTACAGTTTAGATTTTTAGAAAATGTTTTTTTCTACAAAATTTACATCGTTTTAGCTTGTCGGGGAAAATCTCTAAATCGAATACCTTTTCTTTCTTTCAATTAATTTTCTTATATTCCATTTTATATGCCTTGTGTTTTTTTATGTCTCGTACCCCCTCGAGGCTACCTAAATCGTCAAAACGATAATACTAATCGTCGATGTCACCGTGAACTATTACCGTCAGTTTATTCTACGAACCTTAAGAGATCGTTTCAAGCTTCTCTTTATTCCCTATCTCTATTGTTTCCATTATTGTCCTACAATTTGATCGCAATTGCATTTGCGCTTTAATTCGACTTCGCATCGACCGAAACTAACGACTTGGCTCGTAACAAATGGCGAAGAGAAATAAAAACATGCTGATAAATAAATAATGCGTTCTCAAAAATCGATAATAAATAATCTAAATAATAGTTTCTTGTCTCTGAATCTGTCCTTCGAAGTGATTATCGTATACCGACCAATGAAATATAGCGTTCCAGTTAAGTCGTTGCTAAAGATGACTATAGCCGCTCAATGTCGAGCACTTGGTTGCATTAAAAGTCACTATTTATAGTCGCTAGGCGCTTCTTATGTCCCACAGGTGATTATGGCCATTCTTTCAAATGTCACGTAAATAACTGTACGTAATTGAGCGTACTGTAACTTTCTACTCCGCTGACCGACATTTTTTTCTTTTTATACAATTCGTGTATCTTATTTACGGGATTCGTTCGATCGTTTTAACAGGCTACATACATAAATATAATAATAATAATGGATGACAATATTTACTAAAATAACGTGTCGTTTATCGAAAACGAACTGTGCAACGACAGTTCAGATTAATATGGCGAAATTTAGATTCGTGAAATTGATTTGTAAAATCCTATCTTACTTTATCATCAGACTTGTTACTGATATACGAGAAACATTTATTAACATTGAAAATTTGCGACTCGTGAAATTTCCCTAATAATATTAGTTGATTTATATTTAACGGATGAATCAGAATCTCAATTCCACCATCTTGTTCTACCATTCCGCCATCTATATTCTTATTTTTAAACAACATATCGTTATTTCTTATAGAACGTGCTATACAATTGTTCAAAATGTTATATTTTATGGTGTATACGAAGTGAAATATAAATTTTAAGAAAATTTAGAAAGTGTAACACAGTGGAAAGCCGGAAGTTGTCCGGTGCCGACACCAGAGAAAATAGAAAAAGTAAATAAATAAATAAATAAATAAATATATTCAACAGAAATTGGAGGATATAGAATTAAACGAACCGCTCTGTATCCTTGCAACAGAGGATCGCTTTTAACTATAAATCATGGAATTTTTGCCCGTCCCCGTGCCAGGATTATTCGAACGATCTTGTGTCAATGTTTAAGATTTACCGTGCGCTTGGTGTTTACAGAGTCCAAGGAATCTAGTCTCGTTGATAGAAGAGCAAACTGGGATTCTAGTTGATGCCAGGCTAGAACGAACCTGAAGTGTTTCTTCAAATTCGCCTGTGATCGTTCCGAGCCGCGTGTCCGCGCTTTATGCATGCGAAGTTTGCTGTCACGAAGGACGCTATAAATTTTCGAGCAGCCATTATGCACTTCCGTTGGCAACGCGTCGAAATGTCAACCATTTTTCCACGATCACGAATCTATTGTTGCATACTGAATCGATAAACATTCGAGGATCTCGTCTTTTCACTTCGTTTTTCGTCGACTAAATATTATAACGTTTGAAGCACTAACTGTCTCCATCTTTGATACTCTTTGAAAGAAAAATATGGCTTCTCGCTTGGTGCACGAAAGACGTTTTACACCATAGACGACACAAATTTGAGAATTAATTCACTCTACAAAATTGTATTTCATTATATGCTGGCAGAATATTATTTCTATCAAGTCACTCGAAAAGTTTCTTTCGTTTTATAAGGAATTAATCGATGCACAACATTTTCCGTTTTATATTATTTTATCGAATCACGCGTTGAGAATTTTGCATCTTAATAGCCGAAATAATGGTATAAGAACACTAAATTCACACTTAGAATTCATATTAGAATAGTTATATATTTATTTGATAAGCGATTTCAAAGATATTCATCGATACACACTTGCACGCACTCTCAGCTTCTTCCATAGCAGACTGTTAACCGACTGAACAGTTTACATTCATTTGTTTTCGAGACGCCGCGCACACACATACTTCCACACACTGATATTCACATACAAGTATCACCATTACGCAACTAACCTAGTCTAGCACATAAAATTATACATATCGTAATATCACGTATCAAAATAAAGATCACGACGTTCGACAAATTAGGTTTCACGTTTATATAAAGATGCATCGTTGTAAAAGACGTATCTGTAAAAGAAAGACGCTTTGCGGATAACCTGATAAATAAGATTATCGTTCACAAATTTCCATCGATCGTGTTTGTTAGGTTAAATTTAATTGGATAGATTCATACTAACGTTACGTAGTCGCAATCGTTAATGCTAATTGTGATTTTTCCTTCCTTGGTGTGAAAAAGGAGATTCAATATTCAAATTGCATCTTTCTAAAATGGAAAATATCTGAAATAAGGTACAGGCTTAATATCTTTAATTGGGAAATTTATTGCTAACAACGTTCTTCGACAGTGAGTTTAAGTGGTTTCTTTCATAATGATCGGTTTCTTACGAAAATAGCTCCAACTTCTTATACTTACTATGTGTTCCATCGCAAACTCGCCGAAGGATCTTATCCAAGTTTTTTATCACCAAAAACTAAACCTTGAAGCAGGACTTACACAAAGTGTAATATATCGGTTACTTAAATCAGCACATTTCGGATACCAGTACCGGTGATCGCAATAAACAACAAGTTTCGCTGAACATATTTCTTAGCCGCGCAGTAAACGGATCGCGCGAAAAAGTATCGACGATCGATGGATCAACGAGACATCCATTCGCTTTAATTGGCGAACGGCGATGCGAGTTCTCGTGGCGTAACGCGAGATTCACGCGTTTCGAGAATTCCGCATGGTCGAGTCCATAATTCAGCTCAGTTGTCTCATTATCCACGCTTTGTGGCTCGGATTGCTTGCATTTTTCAGACCGTCCATTAATTTCGACGCACGGTGACATTTAGAAAAGAACTTGCAATTACCAAATACTCGGATACTTTGTAAATAAACTGTCCGTTAATTTAATTCTATAATTGAAACACCTTATAATTTGCATCTGTTGTTTGCTCGCCAAATTACCGTCCAGTTTCAAACCGGATAAAGTTCGCCCTTAAAATAACGATCCTACTTTTCGTTTGTCTACTTTCTTTTTTTTTCTTTTTTCAATCTACGACTTTATTATACACGTGAGCGCATTACACAGGGGCCTGTACATGGAAAGTTTGAATTTCAAGCCTCGATGGTAATTAACTCTATAACCCAGAGGTTTCACCCTTAAAACAACGGGTTGTAATTGCCTGTAAAATCTATATCGCGTATAGAGGCCAGTGACACGCGAAGAAATGAGAATCTATATCAGGTATGCAGGGCAACGGTACGAAGAAAGGAGAATTCATACCAAGTATAGAGCGGCCGGTATCGTGGGATTAAAGGCGACAGAACGATGCACAAACACGATCAACTTAAGAGTATTGCTGGCAACCGTCCGCTTTTTTATTGTTACGTAGAAATAAATTATCGGATATTACGATGCATGCAGAGTTTCCTGCCGAAAATTGGTTATCGATAGATCGCTAAATAAAAAATTGAAAGTGATAATACTTTATTGCACTGCTTACAAGTATCCAGATAGACGCGTACTTTTGACACAAGGCGATTTCGTAAAATTATTAATCCATCTGGGATCCCTAAACGAGGGTTGACAAATTTATAAAATCGCAGAACCTGCCATTTTGACTGCTGTGATATTTCTAGCGTTAGCATCTAGCTATTTTCCTGATAACTGATATCATCATATCGAATGATACGCACTTGAAATTTTGAAAACGTGCGGAAAGTTGTAGAAAACGAGGAAACTGGTTAATTGGGGTTCGATGAACAGATTGCAGGACCCTTTTACACTTTGACAATTACCAGCCATTTTGACTGGTGTTGGTATAAGTAGCCTTGATACAAAATTATTTTCAGTTTGAATACATAGAAGATAAAACACAATACATTATATTATTCTTTTAATTATCGTTGCGAAAGTCATTATATCAGTGTGGAAAAAAATATAACATGAAGTAGGAATTTTAAAATAAAATTGTAAAACCAGTCAATTTGACTAGTGTGGTAGTTCTAGTGTCAATATTAGCTAAGATATACTATTGTTCGTTTAACCAGATACACCGGATGATCAGACAATTTAAAGTAACCAAAATTTACAACTTTCACTGACTCTGTAACAAAGTATTAGTAAGTAGAAACTTGCAGTTGTTATAATTCGCCATTAATTTCTACGATTTATCAAAACTCACACATTCTTACTGCGAATCGATCAGAGTGTCCAAACACTTACTTACCGTGCAAGTATAGTTATTTCTAGTGGAAAAATTGGAACGTAAGATGGACGTTCTAGTGTTAATATTAGCTATGATATACTATTGTTCGTTTAACCAGATACACCGGATGATCAGACAATTTAAAGTAACCAAAATTTACAACTTTCACTGACTCTGTAACAAAGTATTAGTAAGTAGAAACTTGCAGTCGTTATAATTCGCCATTAATTTCTACGATTTATCAAAGCTCACACATTCTTACTGCGAATCGATCAGAGTGTCCAAACACTTACTTACCGTGCAAGTATAGTTATTTCTAGTGGAAAAATTAGAACGTAAGATGGACGATCAGCGAGGGAACGGAAACATTATTCGATACTTAAAACTTGCTCGAATTCTGTAGAATGACTTTTCGACTCTCTCGACTTTCGAAGGTGCAACGATTCCAATTCAAAGGGATCAATCTACCGGGTTGTGTAGCAACTCGAACCGGAAGTCGAAGAACCGTAATATCGTTATAGACCCTGCCGTTAAGAAGCGAGAGAAGTCGAGAGGAGGAGCCGGTAAAAACAGAGAGGAAACAAAAAGGAGAGGAAGGAGACTCGTTATCTGGATGTTGCTCGCGAAAACGCTTTAAGCTACGCGATCCTTCAGCCGTGTAACGTCGATTTTACGTTTCAATCGTGCTCGATAAATTCGACACGCGAACAAGCCATTTTCCTGGAACAGACCAGACCAACCGCCGAAACATATTTCATTTTCGTTCCTTTTCTTTCTTTCTTTTTGTTTTTTTCTCCTCCTTTGTAAAACCCTCCGGTTACATCCACCCTCTCGTTATCGTTATCAATGGTTCAAGGGGGAAAGAGAAGGATTGTTGCAAGTCTTGGCTGTGATCAAAGAAGCGCGGAAGGCGTAGAACGCGAGAGGTCGTGTTACATCGAGTATTAAGGGAAAACAAGCCGTCGTAAAAACTCGGATTCTTTGAACTTGGAAATGAGAGCACAGCCTTCTCAGCCATGTTGAAGCGTCGAAGAAAGAAGCGAGGCGCAGTTTACGCCTTGATTAACGCCGGCCAGGCTGTGATCAAAGCGTGATCAAGCGGGGCAAAGACGAGAAGGGAATCGAAAAGAAAAACGGCCAAGTGATGCGACTTTACTTGTTTCTATCGAGGGTTCGGTACGTACGTCGTGGCGCTAAATCTTTTAATGTGACGTTAGCAGAGTTTCCATGACCGGAGGATAATGAAATTGCGTTGCGAGCTGAATTTTGGAGAAAATCGAAATTTTGGAAAATTTTCAAGTATGTCCGAGATATAATAGATACTAAACTGGGCTTGCTAGAACGCATTACGATCTATAAATTATCAACTTGGACATAGCTTCTGTCTACTCAGGGATTATTCAAATATTATTCAAGCTATTAATATTTAGCGCAAATTGTACACATTACGTTGCTTTTATTTATTTGTGTGTTAAATATTTTATTTAATTTGCGTCACGCACTAAAAGTACAAGTACAACGCTGAACGAAGTAAAATTTGCTACATCTTTCCAATATGAACATAGCGAGTAGTTGTCAGTATAATCGAGTGCCTGAAAACTCACGCCTCTAACATAATTTCGTTATTGTCAATTTTTTTCTTTTTCTTTCTTTATTCTAAAAAAAACCATAGAATCTCTGATTTTGTTCGAAGCATGAATTTAGGCACACGGTGTATAATAGTCGAACCATCGCAGTTTGAAGGGGGAAACGAGCGATGGAGCGTACGCGTGATTTTCTCGTAGAAGCAGGCAAACCGACACCAGCCAACAGCACTACACAGTGAAGAAACGAATTTTGGGGCGGGTTTTGATGGAGTAGCTTGGAGTGTTCGCTTCATTGCTCGAGCGTTGGTAATTTTTTGCTAAGTCTTGACCTGATGCTACGGGTGTTCGGAAAATATATTCGTTTTAGAAAAAATATCGGTCATGCTGGAACGAAACTAGAGCAATGGAAAGTTGTTGCGTCTCTACAAGTAGTGGACGTGATACGATTTTCAGAGAGGAAAAGATGGTGTGTTTTTTTCACAGATAAACATTATACACTTTTGGAAGTTTTAAATCAGTTATGAATTTTGTATGGCACGAGTTCTTTCGCTTCATCGTGCTTTTTCAATTGGCAAGAATGCTCGAGCTCGGAGAAACTTGTTTATTTAGAGGTCTTTTGAACGATTTTTATTACAACTTTTATTAGAACGTTTTCTCCGTCTCTCTATTCAAATCTTTATTTCCAGTAAAAAATGTATCCGTATTTTAGCTTCGTAACGTTATAAAATCTGTACGAATCGTAGAATTTTCTTTGTAATCGGAACGTTAAGCGACGGAATTCAATATCGTGTTGATTATCGTGTTGCGTAGTCGCAGTTACTGTCCGCTGGCACTCGAACTACTAAAGTGGTCAAAGCTATCAATCCGTAATTTTTTATACAAGTTCTCACTTAACAGTAAGTAAGTAAGTGTTAAGTAGTCGGTAACTGTTTCATTTAAAAGTGCACATTATCGAAGATATAAAAATACGCAGACATCGACAGCGATAAAACAGCGGCGATATTAAAAACCAAAGCAATAACATAAATTGCCGGAAGAAAAAGTTGCGAATGCAATGTTGAGCTAATTTTAAATTAAGCTTTAATGGATTAAACTGAACAAACAAGCGTTAGTAAATGAAGATAACGGTAAAGAAATGCGCAAGGAGATCGATTAAGATGGACCATCCTGTACATCTGTCGCAATGCGTAGAAACGCTATATACGTTACACAATGTCTTTTAGAATGTATGATATTATCAAAAAGTTATCGATAATCATTTTTAAGGAAAACATCGATCGATATCGTCGAGCGGAATTTACCTTCGAAAATTGGCGATTTCAGCAAAATCGAGTTTGCACAATACATAGAGCTAGAGGAACGCTGTGCTCATCGAGTTCCGTCGACCCTTAGATTTAGTGACTGTAAGTGGCAATGTAGAAGTGTCACCCTCTCGTGGCTCTCTCGGTGCTTCTACTTCATGTTCCCCTTAAAAAAAATGATCCGGAGAGCCTAGCCGATGAGATTTCAAAGCTACAAAAACCGTACGAGGATGGCTCCGCCCAGGCGAAATTTATTTCGACTCTTTTACTCACTCGCGCCCTCCATTTTATAACTCGTGTACCTATCCAAGCGCCAGCAATTCACCGGATTTCTTTAATAAAAAGGCAATCTCGACGTACTGGTGGGGATTTTTGTTGCTTTATTAAAACGCCCACCCGTTATCGATTTACATCGCCTGCTACAATGAAAAACAATGGTAAGATAAATAAGAGTAGATTACTGTAACACGCAATGCTGTTGGTAAAAGCATCGGGAAGAACACCAAAATGAAGAAACTCCGATGTTCTACAATGTTCTTTCATTAGCCCCGACACAACACAACTTCTCTCCTTTTCTTTCTCTCTCTCTCTCTCTCTATCTCTCTCTCTCTCTTTCTTTCAGCTATTATAGCGCTCTGAGAGAATCTTTTCGCCAACGAGACACCGTATCGATTTACCAGCTACGAACAATCAGGATAATTACGTTCGAGGGTACTTTTCGACTCCTCGCGAAGATCCCAGGATAACTGACAATTTGTGTCTTAAGCTTCTAAATTATTATGTTAGGCGGGTTACGCAAGTCGGATTATTCGAATCGAAATCGTTCGGATTCGTGAATATGATTTTATATAAGTGGATAATTTTATCGGAGAGCGGATATGTGGGATGAAATTGAAGGAAGATTTGTTGCCACGAGACGATATTTTTAACTCGAAATCCGGTAGAAAAATACGTATGCTTCTAGATATTAAAACGTATTGTTGTTCAGATGTATCGTTAAGGATTTTCGAACGAGTCACACAGTAGTTAAAAATGAAGAAAAAAGAAAGACACGAGGTGATCGTCGGCGAAGGTGCCCACAAGAAATACTCTCGATTTTCAACAATAACGTTTATTAAACTCTTAACAATTAACAACAAACAGCGATTAACCACTATTAACGATTAACACTGAACTATCGAGAGTCGATAACCCGTTTCTCTAATTCTGTTTACTTCGTTTAACCTCGCGCACTTCGCAGCTCGGGACAGAATGAATGTTTTGGTTCGAAACCAAACAGATTCTTTCCTTTGTTGCCCCTCGATATCCCCACTACGCGTGTGTTTATTCGAAGTCAGCGACGGTTGTCGCGTATACATTCTTCGGAATATTCGGCGAAAGAATCGTAGGGATATCGATGGTACGTTAAGCCTGTCGCCTTACGCTTTGAACGCATAGCGCTTTGTGTCGCGAAGCCGTTGGAAATTTCCGTGGTCGAGTGCCGCCGCAGACAGTATAAAAGCAATAATATTTCTAAAAATTGGTTAATATAGATAGGGAAATAGATTACCAAATGGAGTCATCCTGGTGCATCTGTCACTTTGTTAAAACGTGTTAACTGTAGAAAAAGATAGTGAATTGTAGTATCGTCGACGAAAGGCCTAAGAAATATCGAGCGAACCGTAAACAATGTCGCGAGAAAGCCCTAGCGCCGATAGGCCCAACGATGTATCGTCGGTCCTTCCTTCGAGCGAATAGTTACGCGGAAAAGGCAACACGTGCGTGGTGGGGCTAAGACAAAAGGCAAAGGAATGCCAAGGGACAAAGGGGAATTAACAGTCAGTGTGAATCGAGAAGTCAAAGAGTGCGAATCGCGTTGTCGAAAGAGCATGGTCCGCGTGAGAGAGAGAACGTAGTGACGAGAGTTGCAAATCAACTATTTAATTGTCTTAATTATACTACGTCACTGTGATTAGTTCGCGTTAAACAACCATCGTTTCCTGTTTAACCAACATCTGTTGAATCCATTTATTGTAAATAAACTAATTGTAGTAAAGATTCTACGGAATAATACAAAATTCAAGCGACTCGACCAACAGGAAGAAACAAACGCAAAAGAATATCTCGAATCATACGAAGAACAAACAACGAGTCAAAATCGAACGAATAACAAATTGCAAACTCCTGAAATTCAAGTCACTGAAGTCCAGGTAATTGATTAATCTGACCAAATGTACACGCAAATACTTCTTCGCGTCTCTCCGGCCATTTATTATCGTCAAACAGTAAAGAACACTTTGTCAACCAATTTCCATCTCTGACAACATCCTCTCGTAACAATTTCGTGGAACAGGATCAGCAGTTTGAGAAGGGAAGCGAGAAAGCCACTTCAGCGTGAGATGTTAACCGAAACTCAAGCCGGATTTGCATGACGCGAAGGAATTCCAAGGATCCGCAAGCATCGAATACGCGGTTTCGTGTATCGGCCGGAGAGTCGGTCATTGATCAGCGTCACGAGGGTAAATCTTGATTTTAGATGCGTCACGGTACGCATGGCCAACGAGCAACGGTTCGATATAGTTCTCGGTCATTAAAGTGCCATTAGCCGGGCTAACTTGTCCATCACGGAAATTAATGTTATAAATCCAGCACTTTAGAAACCATGCCAGACCAGCCAACTCTTTTTCCCTCGTCCTTTCGGTTACACCCGCTGTTTCTGTCATTTTGATATCGCGTTAGGTCATCTCTGTTTCCAGTTTCATCGAAGAACACAGGAAGTTTCTTGCCGCGTTTCCGAGTGTCCGTAATTGAGACACGGCTTGCAGAATTCCAGTCTATTTCCATTTCTGACGGATAGACGAATAGCTTTTTCCTTCGGTGGATAAAAATGAGAAATATTTGTTAAACGTTTATGCACAGTGTTTAAAAATATGACAGCAAGTTCTACGAGCGTCTCTAGAGATTGATATATCTGTGAATACACTTAAAAAATGAAACCCAAGATATTTATATGTTTCATTAAATATCTCGAGTACTATACTTTGAAATATTTTACATATTTTTATATATTGCGTGTATTATTGCGCGTTCGTCAACTTTCCAAGTATACTTAAACGCCTGCGATCTCACACATATAACGGAACTATTACAAAATAGTAGTCGTTAGAAAATCCGGATAACACGTTATTCAACACGCGTGCACACTCAGTTGACCAATTACATGTATCAAGTAGAATACACACGCAGCCGCGAATTTGGTATCAGCCACTTGAGCCGACCGAAAGCCAGCGATTCAGCCGCTCGACGTTACAAAACCTCTTCAACACCTGGTACAGCCGAAAAACGAGAAGAACATCGGTCGCAAAACACGAAACACCGTTGCTCGTATAACAAGTACCCGTTGTGGAATCACAATTCTCCTGGTAAATTCACCTACAGACGCTGTGATACAACTTGCGCAGACACAGTTGCCAAACAGTCACCGCATCTTCATCATACCTATCATACGATACATAACATTTTCCCATTCTTCGAGTCGAATTTGCCATAGGAAACATTCCCAAGCAGGTATCCGGTTCGAAGTAACGCTTGTTGCGAATTCCGCAGTGCTTCCACGTCGTCGTCGTCGTCGTCGTCGTCGTCGTCATTGTCGTTGTCATTGTCGTTGTCGTTGAGAATTTCACGGTGAAACTCGTCGGTACACGCGGAAACGGATTTGCCATCTTGAAAAATAAGCGCACAGCCTACTACGGCGAAGGCTGCACGTGGTCTAACGAGAAATCGATATCGGCTCGCGG